TTCCCACCCTCCCCAACCTCCACTTCAAGGAGCCGCTAAAGGCACCTTTCAAGCCGGGCGATGTCTTTGGATAAGACGCCTGCACGGCAGAGGCTGAAGATATGCCGTCATTGCGGACGTGTCCGCCGCGGTGAGAATATTCAGCGGGCGACACGCTTCTTCCGCCTGCTTTTTGCTCCGGGCGAGCTTTTGCTTAATAAGCCGCAAGCAGCCAGAGGAAGAGAACATTGACCTCCGCCAAGGCTCGAAACAATCTTCTTTTGGAAAGCAAAATGTAGTCAATTGCTGTCAAGGAAGGACATTTGTAAACCGTTTGCACTTGTTTGCGCCAAAACAATTTGCGGAGTTGTTTTTACTTCAATCTTAAATTTAAAATGATCAAAGTTTGTTGCAGTGATTTTTTTTTTTTTAAACGGTATAGGTTCTTTCAGGTCCATTTATTTTTATTGTTTGCATTCGCAGTGTTTGTGCTCCCGTGACGCAATTTTTTTTTTTTGTGGTACTGCATCAGCGCGTCGTCTTTTCTCACGTCGTCGCGAAGACGCGGGACAGCAAATCCCGTTTGTAAAAAGTGCGGCGACGGCTGCCCTGGTGTGAAGTGTGGCGGCAAGAGGTGAAGTGTGTGCCTTCAAGAGGGGTGGGGGGGGCGCTCGGGGGCCCATTTGTCAAGTGCCTTGAATGCAAGATGGAGGTCTGGGGGTGGTGGGGGGGGGGGGTCGGCGGATTGTTTTTGCACATGTGGCCTTGGGTCGTCTTTGATGGGAGCTGCTTTGAGGGAGTTTTTTTTTGGTGGGGCGGTAATCTCGATGAATATGTCAAGGAATAAACTAGTTTGGTAAAGTGTCATTTTTATACGTACTGGATTATTCCTGCGTTAGATGTGTGCCTTTAAGTGGCGGGGCCAAGTGAGCGACATATTTGTGAATGTGTGACAATAGATCAGGTCTCCTTGCCCACACGTTAGGGTATCGTAGTACCTTAATTGTTCCTTTTTTTTTTGGTTAGTTTTTTGACTCGCTTCACTACAGTTGTAATTTTGGAGGTCCACTGTATGGTTGAAAAAGAAGCGAGGTCAACACAAGTGATCTGAACTCAGGCAGCGATTCTTGGCCGTTGCACTTGTGGTTGTCGTACCGCGCTTGGACAAAGGCGGCTCAAAACGGTTTTAACGGAGTTCGCCATTGAAAGCTTTGCAGTGTTGTCTTTCGCCGCATTCCCGAGTGGAAGTGAATGCGGGGCCCCTTTGTCGCGGATGTCGGGGGGTTTAATACCTGAAGGAGCCC